ATATATATATATATATATATATATATATATATATATATATAACTCGAATCTACAAACCAAGTGGAATATGCCACGTATATAACTCGAATCTACAAAGCAAAACAACATCATTTAAAGTGTGGTGATGGATGGCTTGGATGCTCCACCTGTGACTAGTCTCTTGCCTTCTCTATTAAGGATCAATTAATTGAATTGGAATCAACAAAAGTAAGTAAAAGCAATGAAAAGGCTGAGGATAACATCACTCGAAACACGCAACCGAGTTTTGTGGATGAATGACACGAAGAGAAATAATGTTGAACTCGAGTTTCTATTAGTCATCATGTTTTTGGATGAATTCGGATAGAAAAATAATGCCTAAATTCTAGACTTAAATACAAAAGATAATTCGTTGGATTCAACCTTTTTATATCGGCATAGTCTTTTATCATAAAAATAATAATAAGATCCAACTCCAATGGAATAACTTAAGAACTATATTATTTTATTTTATTTTATTATAACAATATTAGTATATTTTTTTCTAAGAGTATTTAAATCTTTTTTTTTATCGTAAGAATGTAAGAGAATATCAATGTCACATCTATTGTTTTTAGACGACAAAAGACGCATTTATGTGCATTAAAGAAGGTGACGAATGGATGAGCATTCCATTGGCATATTCCTTCCTTGGATACTTTATTCTCCTCATGTCATCGCATGTCATCTACTTACTATATCTCTAAAGGCATATTCTTATTGTCATGTTGGATTCTCTTCAATCTCTCTCTCTCTCTCTCATGGAGTCAAAGGCCACCGTGGATTCATTCAATGGAGTACATATGACTCTCTCGATCTCACAATACTTGTGATCTCATGGTATTTTACCACCATCCCTTGTCTTCCCAGTGAAGTTTTTCGTGTATATCATATACTTTCATTTCCAAATACACATTACATTCATATTCATAAGTTAAATTTTAACTTTGACTTATATATAAGTTATATCTTAAGGTTATATATACATATATATATATATATATATATACACATATACATATACATATATATACATATATATCTAATAAAAAAACTGTAATCCACGTACGATTGAATCAATGGATGCCCAATCTTGCATCCATAATGAAGTCCAAACGGGGCCCATACATAGTTATTTTGGAGATTGTGCTGTTTATGAAGAGTTCAACACTGCATCGATATCATGTTGAATCAGATTTGAAAGTTTTTGTTAAGCTACTTATCCAAAGATCTAAACCCGTGTTACAGACTAAGGTGTAGAGGGATTAGGTTTGTTTTATAAGACCTATATGTTACTTAAAGTTAGTATATGTTTAGAGGATTTAATTAGTATATTTAGTCAAAGAGTGTTCGTTACTAAAAACAAAGTATCAAAAGTTTTCTTCGATTACTTTATTCGATTTCACAACATAAGATTGGCTTTATGTCCACTTGTCCTTCGATTATAGTCAATATTATTTGATTTGATTGATGAATATTTTGAGATTTATGCAAACACCATGAATAATTTTATATAAAAATAAAATATTATTATCTTATAAATACTTTTGAGTGATCATAAGATTATTATGTATTGTTCAAAAATTATTTGAGAGAATATACAACTTGTAATTTGAGAGAGAGAGAGAGAGAGTCAAATGGCACTGCCATTTTCGCCATGAAAGGAGGAGAAAGCAGCATCTGTTGAACTGCTGCATCTTCCCAAGGCCACCGTATACAGACAAAAGCGCGAAGAATGTAAAGATCATCCCAAGGCCAAATACAGACATGAATGCATGCATATGTGGAACTGCAGCTATCTTCTTCGTCTTCTTCTTCTTCTTCTTCTTCTTCCTCTTCGTCGTCCTCCATGTGCTTTGACCTCTGAAAATTGCAAGGTGGAGAGGGCGCCAGCAGCACTGCATCTTCTCCCTAACAAAGTGCATGCATCTGTCTCCTTCCTCCTCACATATTTTCTTTCCTGACATGATATTTGCTGCTCGGTAGAGTATAATTAAAAGGAAGAAAATTAAAAGAGAAGTAAATAAATCAGTGATTTAGCACTATAAACTAATGCCATGTTTCCATTTGGGTAGGGAGGATAAGGGATGGAGTGCGAGAAGTGGACACACATCACATCACTTGTGATACACGCCAATGGTGCGAGGAAATGTCATTGCCCGCTCTCCAATTCATTTGACGACACTATATTCCTAATGGATGATATCACTCGTCACTTAATTGATCTGTCTAACTCGTTTCGATTCCAATCTTTCATACGAAAACATATAATTCATAATTGAATTTTTAATTATTATTCATACTTCACCATCTTTTCGTAATTTACGTAAGGGGGTGTGTGTGTCATTTTCCATCTTCACAAGGATGGATGTATAAATAAAACTTTGGTAGAACAGCAAACCCATTTCTAATTTAATTTCCAAAGTTTACAAGGACGTATGTGCAAAAATGCTGAATTCAGGACCTTTTTGACATATAAAATTTCAAAAGGGTAAATATGCTATTTTAGTTTTATTTGGATGAATACGGTACTGCCACGTGGGCCATTCCGCGCGGGTTTAGATCGGAATGCGGTCGGATGCAGTGTATGGTCATGGCTGGCAGAACACGTGGTCGATACATCCCCCCGGCCCGTTTCCCTTCCCGTTTCATCTCCCTTTCTTCCCCCAACCTTTTCCCCATCTCTGTCGCTTCCCCCTTCTTTTATGTGCAGCCGACGCCCCGCTCCTCACCCAACCCGATTCCTCCCTCCTCTCCCTCGCTCCGATTTTTCCCCCCTATAGATCGACCGATCTGTGCGGGGTTCTTCCTCTGATGCGCTCGGCGGTCTCTCTGGATCCGGCTTCGCTGTCTTTCTCGTCGATTGGCTATATTTCGTTGCTGTTGGTTGTGGTGATCGGGTTCGGCTCCTCGGAGTTGCTCCTCCTCCTTTCTCAGCACGCATGGCGGCGCTCGTCAACCGCAGAGGTAATCCATCCTTTTGCTCCTTGTTTGGTCCGTGAATGGACGATGATGCTTGTCTTGAAATCGATGGATGGGTTTTGCTGCGTGATCTGTCGGATCCTTGGTTTTTCGGTGGGATTTTCTTCGTGTTGACGGATTCCGGCTCGCCCTCTTGGGTAGGAGGGTTCTTGTAAGTTTTTGTGGATTTCAGCTTTGTTTGAAAGTGGAAACCTTGATACACAGGGTCGGATGCCGTTGTTTGCTTTCCTTTGGTATATCATTATCCGATCCCTACTTAGTTGTCTATTCTTTTTGCTTGCGTTTGGTTCCTTTGGGGAACTCGGTGGTTTTTATTGTGATTTGGAGAGCAGATATAAGATCTATGGATTCTTGGCTATAACTTTGGGGAAACTAATTTGTTATTGGATTATGCTTGCTTTTTGGATCTACCATGATCTTCTTTGATTTTAGGGGTTTCACGAGGATGTCGCTTGTGTCCTTGTTTTGATTTCCATCACACAACTTCTGAACTGATCACGTCCTTTGTTTCTCGGCTTTGCAGGCAACGATGATATATGCCCTGGTGGCCCTCTCTTCTCGAACCTCGTGGATTCGAGCTTGCTTCTGTCTCTCACGCGTAACGTCGATGTCTATTGCCCTCCTCGTAAGAGGCCCAGGGTCACTGCTCCGCTCATCTTTCGAGCAGGAGAGAAAATCGCGGATGAGAAGCTGCAGCGTTCGATCGACACTCTTCCTGAAGAGTGCCTCTTTGAGATCCTCAGGCGGTTGCCAGGAGATAAAGAGAGGAGCAACTCCGCTTGCGTGTCTAAGCGCTGGCTTATGCTTCTGAGCAGCATCCGTTCTTCTGAGTTAGCTCAGAAGAAGCCTAGTGTCGAATCTGTGAAGAAACCTGTGCCGGATCTGAATAAGGATTGTGCTCTGGATGAGCATGAAAGTGAGAACAATGGTTATCTCACCAGGCGCTTGGATGCAGAGGAAGCTACCGATATTAGACTTGCTTCTATTGCCCTTGGTACCTACAGCCGAGGTGGGCTGGGCAAGCTTTTCATTCGAGGAAGTAATTCCACTCGGCTCACTGATGTGGGGCTCTCTGCAATTGCTCATGCTTGTCCTTCCCTTCATGTTCTATCCATGTGGAAGGTACCATTAATCACTGATGCTGGCCTGTCGGAGATTGCCGATGGATGCCCACTGTTGGAAAGGCTTGACCTTTGCCGGTGTCCGCTGATCTCGGACAAGGGCCTCATGGCTGTTGCTCAGAAGTGCCCCAACTTGATGTCTTTGACAATCGACTCATGCTCAAGCATCGGTAATGAAGGTCTTCAGGTTATTGGTCGTTGCTGTCCAAAATTAAAGTCTGTTTCCATCAAGGACTGCCTGCATGTTGGTGACAGAGGAATTGCAAGCTTGGTCTCTTCTGCATCTTCTTCCTTGGAAAGGCTAAAACTTCACACCTTGAACATCAGTGACATTTCTCTTGCTGTTATTGGTAATTATGGAAAGAATGTTATTGAGCTATCCCTCACTGGGTTGCAGAATGTTGGCGAAAAGGGATTTTGGGTTATGGGAAACACTCTTGGCTTGCAGAAGTTGAGGTCCATAACTATTACTTGTTGCGGCAAGCTGACTGATAGAGGCTTGGAAGCTATTGCAAAGGGTTCCCCTTTCCTGAAGCATCTCTCTGTTCACAAGTGTTACTACCTTTCTGATGATGGTTTGAAAGCTTTTGCTGAAACAGCGAGGGCACTTGAGAGTTTGCACCTTGAAGATTGTAACCGGATTACTCTTATGGGTGTCACTGCTCTTTTGGCATGCAATTCAGAGTTAAAGTCACTAGCTTTGGTGCGATGCCTCGGCCTCAAAGATTTAGCTTTTTCCCCAACCCGGCTGCCATCATGTGTGTCACTTACGTCCCTGACCATCCGAGACTGTCCAGGTGTCACGGGTGCTAGCTTGCAAGTGGTGGGGAGGATCTGCTCCCAGTTACAGAAAATAGACTTGAGTGGACAAGCCGGAGTCACTGATGCTTCGCTCATCCAATTGATTGGGAGTTCTGAGGTGGGCTTTGTGGAGGTCAATTTATGTGGTTGTGTTGATCTGACAGATGACTTGGTTACCTTGCTGGTTAAGGCACATGGAAGTACACTGAAGATGCTTAATCTTAATGGTTGTAAGAAGATTACTGATAGAAGCCTCCTAGCTGTTGCAGACAGCTGCTCCATGCTTGATGACCTGGATTTGTCATGTTGCTCAGTAAGTGATTACGGTGTGGCAGTCCTGGCATCAGCAAGGCAGCTTAATCTCCATGTCCTTTCACTTTCAAGTTGCTCAAAGGTCACTCAGAAGATTGTGCCATTCTTGGGAAACCTGGGGAAGTCTATGGTGGGACTGAATCTTCAGAACTGCAGCTTGATCAGCACCCATGGGATTGTTTTGCTCGAGGAGAAGCTATGGTGGTGTGATATCATATCCTAGATGAACACCAGGGTAAAAGTTGGTACAGGGATATTTCTTGAGAGTCTATTTATCAAGCTTTCATGAGCTCCGAAAGCAGAAACACGTCGTGAACAGCAGCAGTCTGTTTCTGTTTGTTTTTGGCTCATATCCTCTGGTCATGGACCTGTGGCTGATTTCATTTTTGCAGATGTTCTTCAAAAGAGAACTCTGTTTTTGGGTGTTTGGCAGTCATCGACTGGCTGGATTTCCTCTATTTTGGCTTCAAGTCTTGGAGGTCACAACCATATCTGGTATGGGTTTAAGTTATTCACTCATGGGTGTAGTCATCGGTTGTGGTAGATGTTTTCCATATGATCCTGGTTAGGTTTTAATTACCAGGGAACCCTCATGCAGTGCGTCTCTGGTGTTTTAGCCAAGTCATATTGGCAATATTTGTGGGCTGAACTTGAGTCCAGAAGTTTCAGGCTGGTCACTTCTTTCCGTCGTTCCACTCTGGGTTTTATGCTTTCTGAGTCATTGGAGTCTGTTGTCTGCTTTATTGTCTTGTTTGGTTGCTTTTGCACAGTTATTATCGGATGCTTGCGACTAACAGGATTTGGCTATGGCTGCATATAGTTGGAGCATGCCATGACAACCTTGATTGGTTGTTTTTTCACCAAATCCCCACTTTTGCAAGCTGATGGAGGACTGAGATCTTTGCGACCTTTCTATAATGAATAAACTTGTTTTATGGATACGTGATCCCATTTGGTGTTCTTGGCATACTAGTTGATCTATGTTTGTGATTCTTGGTTCTTCTGTAACAAAAGACTGGTCATGAGGAGTATGATGCTCTGCCTCTGGTTGGCTACATACATATGTGGTGATCAAAATCTGTAACATCTTTACCTACGGTGGATGCTTCTTTTTGGGTTTTTCTGTGGTGATGGAAGAGGAGGATCCACCAGTGTCTATTCCTGTATGAATGATGGCTCTGTTTTGTGTGGCCACAGATATCACGACGTCTCCGGTTGTATTCCTCAATGAACCAAAGGTAACAGTCGATACCATTGTTCTTTTCATTTGATGTGTCTCTCTGTGGTGACTATACTTTGAAGTCTGAACTCAAGAAGAATTCATTGCTTTTGTGATCTTTGGTTGACTTTGATTCGTCTACTGTTTCTGCATTGTGTTTTGTGATGGATTTTAGTTTGTTCATGTCCAGATTTCATTCATCCGCTTCAAAATATTCTCATATATATATATATATATATATATATATATATATATATATATAGATATTTGGTCATGTCCAGATTTCATTCATCCGCTTCAAAAAATTCTCATATATATATATATATATATTCCAGGATCTATTTTTTTAACTTGAATCTATCTCAAACTTGATCAAATATTTTAGGCTAAATATGTAGAATCGATACCTCAGGAAATTAGATCCCTTATCATACATGTTAATTTCACTGTAATGCAACCAAAATCTTAAATTGATTTGGAATATAATTTCATGTGGTTTTCTTAGAAAATATTTACATTTTGGGTGTTTACCAATCGGTACCCTCATTTTTTTCCCAAATACTATCTATAATTTAAAAATACCTAAAATACCTCAAAAAATTTCTCATCAAAATTTTCATCTCTTTTTACTATTTTAGTGTTTTCATTTAGAACGCTATAGTAGTTTTATTAAGATATTGAAAAACTCTAAGCTATATCTATTTGGTTATCATTACTCGTAAGTCATTATAAGATTAGGAGTTTATTTTTATCATTTATAGTGATTTGTTGTGATGATCAAAATATTATAACAGGCTAAAAATACTATAATAGGCCAAAATACTATAACAAGCGAAAAAAATTGAGAGGTAATTTGAAATTTCTTTTGAATTAAGGGTATTGTTTGAGAAAAATCAAAATAGGGCTATTGTTTGAGAAATATATAAAACGTGCGCAAATTCGTTATAAGAGAAAACCTATAAGGATTCAAATCGCCCGCCCGCTCTCCCCCTCCCTCATGGCTTCAGTTTCAATCTCCTCCCCGTATCTCCTATCCTTCTCCCCGCTCGTCAACAGGGCTTCCTCGGCAGATGCGGTGGCAGCCAGAGTCGGTCTCCACCTCCTCCTCCAGCGGCAAGGGCCCCCATCTTCCATCGCTGGTTAATACATCTTCCACTTCTTGCCCTTTCCGTCTACCTTCTCTGATCTGCCCGTTAGGTACTTCTCCGCCTTTTCTTTGGTAGTTTCCTTGGTCGAGGGTACCACCTGCTGTGCGATACTTTTGGAGGCAGCCTCTATTCTGTATTTGGCTTCCCACAATTCTCTATTACTTCACTTCTCGCTCCTGGTTTATAGAATGATGCAATCTCATTGGTGTATGTATATGAACTACAATTGAGGCTTTCTTTGAAATTGATGAAAGTATAGGTATTCTATTAAGAACTATATTGGGAAAGTAAGAGTAGCATTTCACTCAAATCTAGCATATGCTTCCTTCTTAAATCATAACTGTAACTTTCTTGTGTAGGGTTCAGCTGGAAGTCCCATATTGCTTGGTTTCCTTTTGTGCCATCATAACATATGCATAAATCTCCTACAGTTTATTGTCATTAATTTACCTTTTGTCCATAGCATCATAGTATCATGGAGTTATATAGTACATAATACATAAGGTATTGTAACACTTTTGATTAGTTCCACATCAAAAGTGATAGGATTAAGATTGACTTTTATGATAAATTCAATTTAAACACTTTGGTTAATGGTTTGGGTCAAAACAAAGTTGATAGGTTAGTTAACCCATTAAACCCGGATCGTGATATTTGGTATCAGAGCCGACTACTAGGATAAGTTAGAGGATTTGTCATGGCATTGAGCCACCGTTGAGCTATCTCACATGTGTCAGGCTTGAGTGGGGGAGATTGAAAGACCTTTGATAGTCTCACATCAAAAGTGAACAAGACTAAGATTGACTTATATGGGTCTGATAAGTATGTTACTATTAATTTTAATTTAAATATTTTAAATAGTGATTTAGACCAAATAAAATTGATAGATCAATTACAATAAAGACCCAACTTTGGTCGGTGTCCTTATTGATTCTTATTCTTTTCAAAATACACAGCCATATTAGCTAGACACTTAGTCATGTTTTGGATTATATAAAAAGAAGATATATATTTGGACGAACATATTGATCGATGTTTAAATCCTTTGCACATACTACCATAAGGATAAGAATATGGAAAGTCAATCTTGCATACAACAGAAAAGAAGAATATCTTCTCACTTTCACACTATTTCCGTAAGAGTGTGCTCACCTGGGCAAACCTTTTCAGTAACGTTCATTGAAAGAAAAGAACAGGCAATTAGGAATTGAGTCTGGGCAACCCAATACAATTAAAAGCTATTGCTTTTTAAAAGTAATGTTCAAGCTCCATTGAGTCTGTTTGATATGCAACCACTCACAATGAACCATCCGTGAGGAGACTTGCTTCTGCAACACAGTATTATTTCTCTTTATATCAGATGCCTTTCCCTACAATTTTCTTGGTTGGATATGGGAAGCTGTCTGCGTTTTCAGTAGTTCCTATATAGTATTTTATATTATTTGCCTTTTGTCATCTAACATGCTGTCATGCCACTATATCTTTACATTATGAGGTCGAAGCTCCATGGAGATGGCCTGTTGATGGTGACAGGAAGGTGCTCTCCTCTGCAAACCAGTACTACAGTTTCCAGGGGACAAAACATACCTCTTAAAAGGCAGTAGAAGCGTAACTGTGAATTCTGAGCTACATTTGTTGATATTGTCTCCATACTAGTAAGAAATAGAGAGAAGACTCCACGCTCTTGACACTGTGGCCTCTCGCCCATTTGTGACCTCCACCACCATCAGGTAAAGCTCTGTAAACTCATCTCTTTTTACTTGTATGATGATCACACAATCTGATACATCTGTTCCTTTCTTTGTTCCTTTGGCACATTTGTCACTATTTTTGTTTATTAATTTTGTTGCTGCAGTATGCCTTTGTTTTGTGGAGAATTATCATTCACAAAGAAAGTTTCAGCCAATTCCTGAATACATGCTGTTGATTCGATGGGCACTCCAATGTATCATCTCAGGTAAAACCACCCAACATTCTGCATGCATAATACCTGTTTACGTTGTATTGCTTTAATAATAGTACGAATTTGATCCAGTGTTGATGTAGCAGAGAGTTCAAATAGATTGAATGCTGTAAAAAAAAGTGATTTAGTTACATTTATTGGTAAGCTTTTCATATTTTGGTGCTCTTATATATATCAACAAATTCTTTAGATTTCTATGATCAAATGCTGGTCCAACATGATGAATAGATCAATTGATGGATTTAATCCAGCTAAATTAAGGATAATTTATATTTCAATTATACGGTCACATGCTATGTTGGTAGGAAAGATTTTGATTTTGATTTTGATTTTTTGTTGCACAGAGGAGATTAATCAGTACTCTTGAGAGAGTTGAACGTTATTTGGTGATCTCTTTCACTATGTTATGAATTTTATTTGTACATAAAGTCATTAATTTTAGGATTAGACCAATTGATATGTAATGCGAGAATTGATCGGATCAATAGGCGGTGCGATTCTTGCAAGTATTAATCGATTTCGGTCTTGTCCATATATTTGTTCTTATTTGGACGTCTGCTGTGTTGCAAGTGTTCGCGTGTCGCGAGGAGACGGTGAAACCAAGTCACATTGGCCGACCTTTTTATCTGACGCCTCTCCTCTGCTCCTTTATTCCCCCGACAGCAGGTGTCTCTATCTGCGCCGCATGATCCAAGCAACTCAATCATGCAGTGTACGGAGGCATCCAAAAGATCAAAGTAAAGCAACAAAGATCTGCGTTTTCCCGGATGATTGCCTTTAAATCAAACCGGAGGTTGATTCTCTTCTGCCGCTGCTACTTGATCTGTCCTTTGTCTCTAATGCGATGCTCCTCCTTCGCAGCGCTTCGTTGCCTCTGCCGAACTCGTCGAGGGTGGCGGCCGCAGCCCATGAGTTACCTGTGGGGGTGGGGGAGCTGGTGGTTCCGCCGCTCCCGAGGGCCCGCTCGCTGGCCCACCTCATCACACCTTGCCTCTCCTCCTGCACCAGCGCCTCCTTCGGCGCCTCGCCCTCCGCTTCGTCTCCGTCCGCGAGGCGGCGGCTGGTGCTGCGAGCGATGTCCGGGGCAGACCATTATTTATTTGCTTCTCCATCTCCTAATACGAAGTGGTGCGAGAGAGGAAGACGAACCAAAGTGGTGGCGGAGCACGAGGTGCTGTGAGGGGTGAGCCTCGCCGTCCGAGACCTTTGGAGCAACGACCCCTATGTCATCCTCGAGATGGGCGAACAAGTTTCTTGATTCCGATCACTTTTACTCTGAATGCACGATGAAGGTTAGGAAGGGACGTCGTGAGACAGCTCGACTTCAACACTGTGTCAAGCTACAGACTTCAAACTGCTCTTTACGCCAACATATCCGTGCGGCTATGCTTTATGCATCGAATCCAAGATTGTCTCTCATTTGAACTATTTTGTAATAGAATGGGCGATTTATGAGAAGAAACTTTTTCTAAATGATACTCTTATTTTTATTTGATATCTTTTTTTTCTTCTAATACCTTATATGTTTATCACTCAACGTTTATGTCCTACAACTTTCGTTTCGCCTGCTATGAGGTCCCTCGCTTGAATCTCGATATTTTTCCCTTACCACTTCCATCCGATTATTTCGAATTCGTCACTTCATAATCGTCTGCTCCACCCGACCCTCCCCCCCCCCCCCCCCAAATCTATTACATCAATTCAATCAACATTTGCGGTTTCATCTTCTCCTTTGTTCATCGTGCCGTTAACCAACTTTTGAATTATGAGGATAGTAATTATGATAAGACCCGGCTGACGCCTCACGCCTCGGACGACGCGACGACACCCGGTCAAACGGACCGGAACACAGGCCGATGCGCATTAACACCTACTCAGGCTCGGTTCTTCACGCCACGCCAGCGCCCATGTCAGACGCTATCAACCTGCCTCCTACAGG